CTTAAAATTGCAAAAATCGCAAAATGACTGAAAATTCCAAAAATTGCTAAAATGCCTGAAAATTGCAAAAGTCGCAAAAAATGCCTGAAAATTGTAAAAATCGCAAAAATGCCTGAAAATTGCAAAAAATCGCAAAAACGCCTGAAAATTGCGAAAATCGCAAAAATGCCTGAAAATTGCATAAATCGCAAAAATGCCTCGAAAATTGGCAAAAATCGCAGAAAAGCCCTGAAAATTGCAAAAATCGCAAAAATGCCTGAAAATTGCAAAAATGACTTAAAATTGCAAAAATCGCAAAAATGACTGAAAATTGCAAAAATTGCTAAAATGCCTGAGAATTGCAAAAGTCGCAAAAATGCCTGAAAATTGTAAAACATCGCAAAAATGCCTGAAAATTGCAAAAATCGCAAAAACGCCTGAAAATTGCAAAAATCGCAAAAATGCCTGAAAATGGCAAAAATGCCTGAAAATTGCAGAAATCGCAAAATTGCAATCTTCAGTTATTTTTGCGATTCTCGCAATTTCCAGGCATTTTTGCGATTTCTGCAATTTTCTGGAATTTTTGCGATTCTTGCAATTTTCAGGCATTTCTGCGATTTTTGCAATTTCTCGGCATTTTTGCGATTTTTGCAATTTTTAGGCATTTTTGCGATTTTTACAATTTTCAGGCATTTTTGCGATTTTTGCAATTTTCAGGCATTTTCGCGATTTTTGCAATTTTCAGTCATTTTCGCGATTTTTGCAATTTTCAGGCATTCTCGCGATTTTTGCAATTTTCAGGCATTTTTGCGATTTTTGCAATTTTCAGGCATTTTTGCGATTTTTGCAATTTTCAGGCATTTTTGCGATTTTTGCAATTTTCAGGCATTTTTGCGATTATTGCAATTTTCAGGCATTTTTGCGATTTTCTCAATTTTCAGGCATTTTTGCGATTTCTGCAATTTTCAGGAATTTTTGTGATTTTTGCAATTTTCAGGAGTTTTTGCGATTTTTGCAATTTCTAGGAGTTTCTGCGATTCTTGCAATTTTTAGGCATTTTTGCGATTTTTGTAATTTTCAGGCATTTTTACAATTTTCAGGCATTTTCGCGATTTTTGCAATTTTCAGGCATTTTTGCGATTTTCGCAATTTTCAAGCATTTTTGCGATTTCTGCAATTTTCAGGCATTTTTGCGATTATCGCAATTTTCAGGAATTTTTGCGATTTCTGCAATTTTCAGGAATTTTTGCGATTTTCGCAATTTTCAGGCATTTTTGCGATATTTGAAATTTTCAGGCATTTTTGCGATTTTTGCAATTTTCAGGCATTCTTGCGATTTTTACAATTTTCAGTCATTTTTTCGATTTTTGCAATTTTGAGTAATTTTTGCGATTTTTGCAATTTTCAGGGCATTTTTGCGATTTTTTCCAATTTTCAGGCATTTTTGCGATTTTTGCAATTTTCAGGCATTTTCGCGATTTTCACAAATTTCAGGCATTTTCGCGATTTTTTGCAATTTTCAGGCATTTTTGCGATTTTCGCAATTTTCAGACATTTTTGCGATTTTTGCAATTTTCAGGCATTTTTGCGATTTTTGCAATTTTCAGGCATTTTTGCGATTTTTGCAATTTTCAGGAATTCTTTCGATTTTCGCAATTTTCAGGCATTTTTTGCGATTTTTGCAATTTTCAGGAATCGCAAAAATGCCTGAAAATTGTAGAAATCGCAAAAATGCCTGAAAATTGCAAAAATCGCAAAAATGCCTGAAAATTGCAAAAATCGCAAAAATGCCTGAAAATTGCAAAAATCGCAAAAATGCCTGAAAATTGCGAAAATCGCAAAAATTCCTGAAAATTGCAAAAATCGCAAAAATGCCTGAAAATTGCAAAAATCGCAAAAATGCCTGAAAATTGCAAAAATCGCAAAAATGCCTGAAAATTGCAAAAATCCACAGAAAAGCCTGAAATTGCGAAAATCGCAAAAATGACTTGAAATTTCAAAAATTGCAGAAACTCCTAAAAATTGCAAAAATCGCAAAAATGCCTGAAAATTGCGAAAATCGCAAAAATGCCTGAAAATTGCAAAAATCGCAAAAATGCCTGAAAATTGCAAAAATCGCAAAAATGCCTGAAAATTGAAAAATCGCAAAAATGCCTGAGAATTGCAAAAATCGCAAAAATGCCTGAAATTGCAAAAATCGCAAAAATTACTGAAAATTTCGAAAATCGAAAAAAATGCATGAAAATTGTAAAAATCGCAAAAATGCCTGAAAATTGCAAAAATTGCAGAAACTCCTAAAAAATATCGAAAATCGCAAAAAATGCCTGAAAAATTGCGAAAATCGCAAAAATGACTTGAAATTTCAAAAATTGCAGAAACTCCTAAAAATTGCAAAAATCGCAAAAATTCCTGAAAATTGCAAGAATCGCAAAAATTCCTGAAAATTGCAGAAATCGCAAAAATGACTGAAAATTGCAAAAATCGCGAAAATGCCTGAAAATTGTAAAAATTGCAAAAATGCCTGAAAACTGCAAAAAATCGCAAAAATGCCTGAAAATTGCAAAAATCGCAAAAATGCCTGAAAATTGTAAAAATCTCAAAAATGCCTGAAAATTGCAAAAATCGCAAAAATGCCTGAAAATTGACAAAATCGCAAAAAATAACTGAAATTTCAAAAAATCGCAAAAAATGCCTGAAAATTGCAAAAATCGCGAAAATTGCCTGAAAATTGCAAAAATTGCAGAAACTCCTAGAAATTGCAAAAATCGCAAAAATTCCTGAAAATTGCGAAAATCGCAAAAATTCCTGAAAATTGTAGAAATCGCAAAAATGCCTGAAAATTGCGAAAATCGCAAAAATGCCTGAAAATTGCAAAAATCGCAAAAATGCCTGAAAATTGCAAAAATCGCAAAAATGCCTGAAAATTGTAAAAATCGCAAAAATGCCTGAAAATTGCAAAAATCGCAAAAATGCCTGAAATTGCAAAAATCGCAAAAATTACTGAAAGTTTCGAAAATCGAAAAAATGCATGAAAATTGTAAAAATCGCAAAAAATGCCTGAAAATTGCAAAAATTGCAGAAACTCCTAAAAATATCAAAAATCGCAAAAATGCCTGAAAATTGCGAAAATCGCAAAAATGACTTGAAATTTCAGAAATTGCAGAAACTCCTAAAAATTGCAAAAATCGCAAAAATTCCTGAAAATTGCAAGAATCGCAAAAATTCCTGAAATTGCAGAAATCGCAAAAATGCCTGAAAATTGCGAAAATCGCAAAAATGACTGAAAATTGCAAAAATCGCAAAAATAGCCTGAAAATTGTAAAAATTGCAAAAATGCCTGAAAATTGCAAAAATCGCAAAAATGCCTGAAAATTGCAAAAATCGCAAAAATGCCTGAAAATTGCAAAAATGACTTAAAATTGCAAAAATCGCAAAAATGACTGAAAATTGCAAAATCGCAAAAATGCCTGAAAATTGCAGAAATCGCAAAAATGACTTGAAATTGAAAAAATCGCAAAAATGCCTGAAAATTGCGAAAATCGCAAAAATGACTGAAAATTGCAAAAATTCCTGAAAATTGCAAAAATCGCAAAAATGACTTGAAATTGAAAAAATCGCAAACATGCCTGAAAATTGCGAAAATCGCAATAATTCCTGAAAATTGCAAAAATCGCAAAAATGCCTGTATATTGCAAAAATCGCAAAAATGCCTGAAAATTGTAAAAATTGCAAAATGCCTGAAAATTGCAAAAATCGCAAAAAATGCCTGAAAATTGCAAAAATCGCAAAAATGCCTGAAAATTGTAAAAATCTCAAAAATGCCTGAAAATTTCAAAAATCGCAAAAATGCCTGAAAATTGCAAAAATCGCAAAAATCGCAAAAATAACTTGAAATTTCAAAAATCGCAAAAATGCCTGAAAATTGCAAAAATCGCGAAAATGCCTGAAAATTGCAAAAATTGCAGAAACTCCTAGAAATTGCAAAAAACCGCAAAAATTCCTGAAAATTGCAAAAATCGCAAAAATTCCTGAAAATTGCAGAAATCGCAAAAAATGCCTGAAAATGGCGAAGTTCGCAAAAATGCCTGAAAATTGCAAAAATCGCAAAAATGCCTGAAAATTGCAAAAATCGCAAAAATTCCTGAAAATTGCAAAAATCGCAAAAATGACTTGAAATTTCAAAAATCGCAAAAATGCCTGAAATTGCAAAAATCGCAAAAAATTACTGAAAATTTCGAAAATCGAAAAAATGCATGAAAATTGTAAAAATCGCAAAAAATGCCTGAAAATTGCAGAAACTCTCAAAAATATCAAAAATCGCAAAAATGCCTGAAAATTGCGAAAATCGCAAAAATGACTTGAAATTTCAAAAATTGCAGAAAACTCCTAAAAATTGCAGAAATCGCAAAAATTCCTGAAAATTGCAAGAATCGCAAAAATTCCTGAAAATTGCAGAAATCGCAAAAATGCCTGAAAATTGCGAAAATCGCAAAAATGCCTGAAAATTGCAAAAATCGCAAA